TCCGGGACTTTTATATTTTGACGACACTCCTGTGATATCCCGGAGGAGCAAAATACTGTGATAACGAATCCCCCCAGCTTGCGCGCTGGGGGAATGAAATAAATTGTGATAGCGATGCGTGGACTGGGGGGCTTGCCCTCCAGTCCTCTAGTCTTAATTGCCCATGCGGGGGGGGGGGGGGCCTTGTCCCCCGCAATAAATATATTTTAATGGCGCGCGGCATAGCCGCTTATTTTTGTATTACCTCAGAGAGGAAATGTCTCTCTGGGGAAATTATTTGAAAATAAAAGTGAGCTAATCTCGGCGATGAGGAGGTGGTATCTAGGCGCTACACTTCCAGTCAAGTGATAATGGCGAGGATGACAATGAAGACGCAGATGATGCTTCGATTTCGAACGTCAATCTGTACAAGCTAATGACGCCTGTAGACGTTGCCGAAGGACTTCTACGAGAAAATTGAGGCGCAGAAGTAGGCAGGAGTGAAAGAAAGCGCTGGAGGCGCTCGAAATGCTTATTAAAAATACGAAACTAAAGAACGGCGACTACGGTGACGTAGTGAAGTCTTTGGAGAAAATTATCTCGAAGGACACCAATGTGCTGGTAATTATGCTAGCAGGGAAGTATCTGGCTGGTCTGGCTGCAGGTTTAGAGAAATAATTTCAACCTTATACCGCCTGTTCGCTTGCCATTCGTAAGAAGAAGCAGACAGTGGTATTACGGGATGCTACTGGTACTGATACCATAAACCAGAATGTGGGGATCAATTTCATTCTCGACGACATTCTAGCTACTTTGGAGAACAAAAACCTGGTCGAGCCTCTAGTTAATGTGTTAAACCCACCAAAAATACAGTAAGTTAAGCCTAATAAAATGAATTATTAATATAATTAAACTATAGTAAAATATTAAATTATACTTTAATATAATTAAACTATACACAAAACTAAATAATTTATTTTATTTAAATTATAAGTGTTATTATTTTTTATAAATTTAATATTATTTTGTATCTCCCGCTACTGCTAGCAGTAAAGATGAGACACTCAAACATAACATTTTATATGTGGCCAGTATTAATTTGCCCACTGCGATACAGTCCATGAATGCAATAGAAAACGTTTGTATTTATTTTTTTGATATTCGAATATGTTAAAAATGTACGAATATTTAAAGATTAAAAAAAAATAGACTGTAGCTTTTAATTATCGTGATTTTTTCCAAATTCTTGGCGTGGAGATGTAATTAAAATTAGCACTTTTTAAGAATTTTTTCTCTGTGGAAGAAATCGATTAAAGAAATTTTTTTGATGCAAAATTTTCTGTTTTGAATACCTGCGTAATGTGTGCTCGTATATATTAGCGTTTTCTTTTATTACAGTTATTAAAGTCTCATCAAGCAATGCAAGTCAGCTTGCAATCCAAGGAGGATAAATTTATTAGATCGATAAACATGCAATTAAGGTTTTGGGCCCACAAACTTATCATTTGATCTATTTTTTTAAATGTATAAGAGATACATTTTTTCCAAGAAATCCAGTGTTATAAAACTAAAATAGAAGTTTTTGAAACAGCTATAAAAATTAAATTTTTTATGAAAATCTTAAATTATTCCTTATTAAATGCCTTTAAAAAAATATTTTGTCACACATGTGCCTTTTTATCAAAAATTAAACTTTATACATATATATATATTTTTTTAATGTATTGGGTATAGAAATAAGTTTCCGCCCTTTTTTAATGAAAAAGATGTATTTATTTAAACAAAACAATACAAAGTAAGTTCATTCAAAGTATGCTCCATTAGAAGCGACAACTTTCCCCCACCTTTTAGGTAATAAACAGATTCCTCAAAGGAAGAAATCTGGTTCTTTTGAAGCGATCCATTTATCATTTTTTGATATCTTCATAAGAATTTAATCGCTCTCCAGAAAGGGCCGATAGCATGGACCGGAATAAATGGAAATCTGAAGGAGCAATGTCCGGTGAATACGGCGGGTGGGGCAGAATCCCACTTCACTCCTTCCAAGTATTTCTTGACCGGTTTTGCAACGTGTGACATAGCGTTGTCACATAGCAGAATCAGCTTATCGTGCCTATTGTCCCATTCCTATTGTTTTTGTTTCAAAGCTTAGTTCAAACAAATCGTTTCGAAATGAACGAATATCAACTACTGGGCTCAAAAGCTTGAACACACACCTTTCAAATACATGTATTGCCGTTTTATCAAACACATAAGCAGTGCTACTAACGACATCTCTCTAATGGGCGGAAACTTATTCCCATACCTAATATATCAAATCGCTTAATGAAATAAATAATCTATAAAATAATATGATCGTTACGCAATTGTGTGTACTCACCACGAAAATCAGAAATATGTTTTTGAAGCCCCTTGATATATCTGCGTTTTCTTGTCGTAATGAATACGTTTGAGGGAACTTCTGTTTCTTGGAAAAAATGTATCTTTCATACATTTAAAAGAATTAATATCAAATGATAAGTTTGTGGGCCCAAAACAGGTTGAAATATTTGCAGTACGCTGAAACATTACAGGGAGATCAATAACATCATGGTCAAAATTATTGATAATTCTAATCACACCACCATCGTATGATATGATTTTTGAGACAATAACATGATATTTATTATGTTAAAAATTATATATTTTTGTACTTTATTTATTACGTTTGTTTATAGTGTATTAATCAAACTGCTTCATTCCTGTATCGATTCAAATGTTTCTTTAAAATACAAGGCATTAGTGATGAAATATTTACGGATAATAGTCAAAACAATGTCGAATTGGGCTGATTTAGATTACAATACAATACTCTTGGAAGTGGACCGTTTTCTTAAGGTAGAGTAGTTTTTTTAAATAATATTCTGATACATACTAGGCAGTACGACGGGTTGCGCGGCAAACTTTGCATGGCCAAGCGTGGTTTAATAGACAATGACAGTGACTTTATAACATAAACTTTAACATATAATGACCGATTATTTAAAGTAAATGAGAACATATACAAGAAAGATTGCTATTGTTATATTTTGCAACTTATATGAGCTATTAATAAGTTAAATGTTGCAATTATTTTTTTATTGTCTCCAATTGTTTCAATGCGATAACATTTTATATATTATATATTATCTTTTTGAATGTAGGATTATCCTACTACATGGTGGAAGAAACGGAAGTCCGATACTCCGTTACGAATAGTTAAGATGATTCTTCACAGTATGACCAGGGTGAAAGGCAGTTCGATATTTTATAATTTTACTTTAATAAATGATACGAATGAAACTTTGCGCGATTACTTAGTTGAGATTAGTTACGTTTTGTATATGTGTGTGTGTGTGTGTGTGCGCGTGCGTGTACATATATATAATATATACAGGGTGAATCATTTTAATCGAACCAGGCAAATATCTCGACAAATATGGAAGATACGGAAAAATGTTTCAGACACAAGTTGTATGGTTTGGAAGGGGACATAAGATGGTGCTATTGGTTTGACCTTGGAAAATTGTTTGAAGGTCACATAAAGATTATCATCAATTTCTTAAATGGAATATATTTCATTGTATATTCTTGTAGCTTACCTTGAGAGCTTTCCAAAACACTATAATTAAGTTCATTTTCATTAAGTACTTTTCGAGTTATAAGGCCTGCAAGTTACAGGGTGTCCCATAACGATTAATTAATATTTCAGGAAGTGAACGAGGATGAAATTTTAAACTAAAAGTTCCTTTGTGTGCTAAAATTGCTAATTTTGGCTCAGACTAGATTTATTTATTGATCTATTTATTTATTTATTAATATAAAAAATTAGAATAATTTTCAATTAATTAGAATAAGTTCCAATTGGGATAATGCATAGCAAGCGCGAGGAATCCCATGACATACTATGCTCCTGTATACTTCGTATGTGTATTACCTGATTGATCGTTAATAACTCGATAAGTAATAGTCTGAGCCAAAATTGGCAAAGAAACTTTTAGTTCAAAATTTCATCCTCTTTCACTCCCTGAAATATTAATTAATTGTTATGGGTCACCCTGTGTGTGTGTGTGTATATATATATATATATAATATGTATACACACACAAACACAAACACACACACACACACACACACAAGTACCGCAACTCCACATCCGTTCCAATTACGTTTATTTATTAATTTTAAATTTGACTTGGATAATATCAGCAGAATCATGTTTATTTCTTTTTGTTTTCCTTTAGGGCTGCAATGGTGGATTCACGAGGAGCCATGCGCCCCCCCTCCCTTAATAGATATTAAATTGTACTATTTCAATACTCTTTTTGTGCTACATATATCTTCAAGGAATTTGAGAAACAAGAACTTTTATAATTTTATTATTAATATTTATTTAAATTAAGCAATGTACTTTCTATTTTCTATTGGTGGGTTGTTTTCTTAATTTTTGTCATTGAATCTTTCAGTATTCGAATATTTAAAATACTTAATCGGGTATTACTTATTTCAGATATCATCCGAGTAAATGTTATATTCGAATACCAAATAAATAAAATGGTTTTTTTTTTAATTAAAAGAAGAGTGCGGTTTATTTTATTTGTATCTCAGTAGCATAGTTCTGAAATCTTTTGGTTGTGCACAAACAAAATTGATTATACAAAAACATGTAACGCTCTTTACATTTTTACATTTTCTATAAAAATAACCAAAATTGCACGCATGCGTTATTGGTTATAAAAAATATATATATTAATACTTATGTATAATTAAAAGAGGAACTTCTAATATATGGATGGAATTAAATTTTTGACAGAATAGCAATAATTTTGAAAAGTCAATGTATCATAGCAACGTACAGTACAATTTCTTATATAGCTATAATTTTTCGTTACATTTAAATGCATTTCAATATGCACATCATAACAATCATAAAGTAAAAGTGACAACGTGAAAAAAATGAAAGTTCTTAGCATTTCAATACAGTGTATATAAAATTCTAAAATTATTACTATTATTATCATTATTACAATTATTAATATTATCGTTATTATTAATATTTGGCGAAAATAAACACTCGTGTATTATAAACATAAATACAAGTTTCAAATATTGTCATGTATGATACTTCTCCTAAGCCGTGTTGATTCGTGAGACAAATCTTTTTTGAGACCGTGCAGCACTTTTTTCTCTCGTAAAAAAAATATAACAAGCAGTTAAAAAAATAACTGACATTCTTATCTCTAAAAATCTAATAATAAATCTATTTGAATTGCAAGAACATGATAATATTCAAAGTCTCGTAATAATGTAGTTGTGTATCTATAATGAAATATACATTGATTCGTAAGTAACTCGGTTATGCAAAATTATCACAAATTTGCTGCAAACTAACAATATTTAAATATACTCTTTTGTACCGTTCTTCTAGCCAGTTAATAATAATCGGAAATATCGTACTAAACGCCCCATATGTAATCTATACAGAGCTTGTACAAAGTTAATGTTTTTTTTTCATAAAACAATACTATACATGACTCTCCCTCAATACCATACATTTAACAGTAATGAATGTGAATTACTGACAATAACTAACGTTGTTGACATGTGATTAACTTCGTAAAAGAAAAAATTTGTTATTTGTTTCAAAATCGTTCAGTCTCTTGATAACTATTTACATAGCTACTAGACAATTAAAAATTTATCTTATGATGGAAAAATTAATTTTGCTCACCCGATAAGAGTATCTCTAAACTGATCTCGGAAAAGGCATGGAAATATCTTTAGTACAAGTTGGTTCGGAAATAATTAACACAATTTTTTGTAATTCGACTGCTTGACAATTCGATTACTGGTACTCTGTCTAATAGAAATCCTATTCCTTCAGAATTCAACACTTTCGTTTTTTAAAAGTATTTTTATCGGCAATCCGAGTTCGGATATTGTTGCTTTATCTAAACTGCTATCTAATTTGTGTAGCCTTCCTATTACGTTCTTTTTTTCGAAATACAAGAAATAATTTCAAAGAAGAAGAGAGAAAGAAAGAGAGAACAACTTATTTTTATTGTAACGCTGAAGGATTGCTAATGAGATTAAATCACAAAGAGATACGATAGTTTGAACGTAACAGGAAGAGATTTCATTCATAACATTAATACGAGAGCAATTACTTATTAATCTAGTTGTCGAAAATATGTTTAAGATCGTGCTCGTAGGCGGCGATAAGTAACATAATTCCAAGGCCTGTCGATAAGCCTAAACTTTGCCAAATGCATTGTAATCGCGAACCACTTTCCGCGGAATGACTCGATGACAATTCTGGTACCTAAGAAAAAAGAAATAATTCAAGAAGCGTTTCATTCTTAAGTTATCGTAAATCTTTCGTAGAACAAAGTATACTCACCATATCTACTAATGCTATATATATAAATATTCCAGCGGCAACCGCAAATATCCAGCTGGTAGCGTCGGGAGTACTTCCTAACAATATTCCGCCTATCATACCTAACAGACAAAGCACTGAAGACAATAAATTGTAAAAAACAGCCTGTTTGGTACTCATGCCCGCTTTCAGAAGCACTGCAAAGTCACCTGTACAAGAATATTCACATTATTGTATTACTAATAGCGAATTCTAATGGATGCACTTAGTGTGCACTGACGCACATTATCGCCGTCGTACACAAATTATCGTAAAAATATGATTATTATAAACATAGAAACTCATTAAATAGGGAAATACTCAACTCATTTTATTATGCTGTTAGGTAAAATATGTATTTTATAATTCGAAATATTTGCATTTCCCTTTTACACTCAAATTAAATTAGTGTACAACGGCTTTAATATACACTAGTACGCACTAGTGCGTCCAACCGAATTCGCCATAGTTATACATGTGTTTATAGGTACATCATCAGGGAGACAATACCGAGTTCATGAGGTAATTCATGACAGAGAACAGCAATAGCCGTGGAGAATCCACCTGCGATGTTTGCTGAAAAAGCTGCCCCGATAGCCATGCCATCCGTAAAATTGTGCAGGCCATCCCCCATTACAACCATCCAAGCCACGTTGGACATTGATTCGGGAGCCGAGTGTACGTGGCCTAGAATCGAAACGTTCATGTTATCAGACATGCACATATTACGTAAGAGATTATAGTATTTATATTTTATTATAAAATGTTGAAAACGCACCATGGGAATGACTATGGCCGTGATGTTTGGTCTCGTGTTCACGTAGAATGACGGTATAGCTCTCCGATTCATTTAATGATACGTCAGCACCATCGGCATTTTTCTTAGCATTTACAATCGGATCGTCCATTCTCCAATCGTCCTTTGGTTTTTTTTCTATGTCATCGGTCACGACAATTTTCGTGACGGAGTTACAATTGGATGTCAATGGTTTCTCCTCCTCGATGATAGGTGGTCTCTCATGGTGATTCATTCGACGATTATGATGATTATCTGCATATTTCATTGATTATTTTTACCTTTCAATATGCCTTTGAAATAAATATATTAACATGACAAGCTACTCTATTTTGATTGAAACGCGACAGCCCAGATAACCGCGAAATTTAATATACATTAAATTTAATACAAAAAACATCTGTCACCTTGAGTTTCACTAGCAATCTCGCCGTAACAATACGGGTACGAAGAGTATTTGTGTTTACATAGCTTTTCACCGACAACATTGCTGTTTGGCCCATCGCTCTCTCTCATTACTCTCACGCGCGTAGGTAACTACAATATTATTTCACCGATTGATATAACACAAGAAATAACGTTTACGAAGATAAAGATTCCTCTTTTATTCACCTTTTTCTTATGCTGCCAATGCTTCCGCCATTCGGATATCATATTTAACGCCTTCTCAGTGAAGAAGAACGTCATGAAACCCATCATAGCGACTAATCCTTTCCACATATTCATACTATGTAGATTCACATGATCGATTAATAACGCGTTACTTTCGTCGTGATGATGTTCGTGTTCGTGATGTTTATCGTTTTCATGGTGATGAAGCGGCATCATCGCCTACAAACGTGAAAGAGAGATATTGTGATATTAAAATATATTATTCTGTTACGGACGTATATATATATATATATATATATATATATATATATAACATCTTGATAAAATAAAAAAAACTTGCGTGTGGTAATAGATGGATAAAGGCATCACCGGTTAAAGTACCTACGGCCAGGGCAACTAGAAACTGTAGCACGTGATGGTAATAATTCTTTCCCATGATCGGAATTACTACTACGCCGAGCAGTCCGCTAAGACTAATTACGAAAATACTAACTGTTGAATATACCCAGACTGAAATAAATAAAAGTAACAATTTTTTTATTGCCTTTCTTCAAAGAGAACTGACGTATCTTTAAGACTAGATTGATCATTGCATTTTGTTCGTTTATATCCATATAATACCTTTTACAGTGTTACGCGCCGAATCCTCCGCTGTATAAAATTTATCGACTGGCATGACAGGCTTGTAGTTCTCGGGTACTCGTATACAGCCGTTTCTCTCCGAACTGGATTCGGCCGCTAATTGATACACAAGAACCGGACACACGCGTTCGAAAAGCCAGCTAGGTAATGTCGTCGCGTTATTACTGGAAACGTAATGTGTATCTTGGGCAACAGTATTTAGCAACTCTTGACTGTTTAAGCACTGAAATAGAAGTCGACGCATTATGTATATAATTATAGTATAATTACTACACAACAAATTTCTCCAGAATTAAGTTATTCTGATAAATAGCGCATATCTTACCCTCTCCTTGTTATTTTTACTATCTGCGTCGTGTAGGCCTTTACTTGGAAAATTCTTATTATCTGTAACGTATGAAGATGGTTTTCTTGATAAGTTTACTATTAATCTTTTAATGTGTATATCGACTTATGTTTATTACTAACTAATTTTATACATACTTCTATCAGTGGCACCACTATCCACCTCTAACGTATCAAATAATCTTAGTAGACCCAATTTCCGGACAAGTTTTTCAAAACCTTCTATAGTTATACTCGTTCCATCTCCGTAGGCCTCAAAGATCTTCTGCATGAAGTACCTCTCATTCACATCTCTTTTTAATCTAGATTTATTAACGGTACGTAAATTTTCGCTAGATCGTGCAGACTTTTGTTTGACACTTTCCACCAACTCTGTTTGAGCAAGACGCTCCAAAAGTTCCGCATCTCTCGAATTTACAGACACACTTGCGTTGTTAATTGACGATCGTCTGTCTTGCAGACTGCCGCCGCCTTTGAAGCTTTCCGTCATCTGCTTCTTAAGATGAGTATCATATGATGCAGTCGATATCGCGTCAATGTTTACCGAAACGTTATTATTGCTGTTACTGTCAATGCGTTGAATAGGATGAGATCTTACAGCGTCGTGCTTATTGCTAGTGAAGTTACTTGGATCGTATCTCTGTTGATTCTTCAAGTATATATACGATTGTCCTTGTGGATCCGAATAATTTTTGGTACTTGTTGAATTAACCGACAAATTCGTATGCGCCGAACAAGGTACATGTGCGGCGCACAGTACACACACCACGCATACGGTAACGATATGATGCGACATGATGAGCCTCCTGAAAGCAGAGCATATATATATATATATATATATATATATATAGTGTGTG